TATTTGTACCAAAAACTTACAATTACCAAAATCTTCAGTAACTAACTTAAAATTAAAAATAAGATACACGTAAAGTAATTTATTCAATTCCACAGAAAAAATACTCCTTCATATCTAGTACTGTTTATGTTAAGTGGAAATCATAAAATCAAATTAATACGATCTCTGGCTAAGACGCAGTGATAGGTACGGATACGATAAAGAAAATAAGATCTTTAATTTTACGAGCCTCACTGACCTCATTAACTCTTACATTAACTTAATTACGGAAGTTGTTAAGCAATAAAAATATCGACATGATATTTTTGTAGCCCTTCATAGCCATATTGTAAACATTTATTCCAAGTCAAAGACTGAATGGAGATACTTTGGATTCGAAATACGTTGCTTAACAATGCACGCTTATAAAAATACAAAAGGGCCGAGTAATTAAAAAAATCAGGTAGACGAGGTTTTGCCGTCGGCCGACAGACCTCCCGCAAATGTATTATATTCTTTTTTTACTTTAGAACATCAACGAACACAAGAAATGATAAAATTATCTTAAAGTGAAAACTAAAGTAATGCAAAATAAAATAAAAATTGAAGGTACTAACATTACCCAGCTATAATTTAACAGGGAGTAAAACAAGAATTTCTCTCGGCATGACTCGGGTCACTCGTACGAATGCAAGTATTGCATACCAGAGGTGAAATCCGACGATTTGTAATAACTCAGAGATCCACCGGTCAATCACACGCACCGCACTACACTAACACCTCGCGCGCACAGCACAATCAGTCACTGGACGTCACTTTACGACACTCGTCAACCGAAATTTGGAACAAAAAAGCTAGCACGACGACCTTCATACCACGAAAGCTCTCAAGCAACTGAGCGTCGAGTCTCGAGGGAGCACTGAGAACTCGTCTCAGAACTAGCAAAGCCTTCACGGTGAGTGGCGCGAGCACAATGGGGAACGCGAGCGCCCGCGCAGCGCACCTGTGTCGCATAAAACTCTTATTCTTTTTAATTTTATGAGGCGACGAACTTTTCTGCGCACATCGATCGGTTGATGACCTCACGAGGACCCAATGACAAAAGTCAGCTTTACTCGAAGACATGTACTGAAACAATTAAATCGAATTCTCATTTGCGGACAATCTTTTCAATCGAGACGGACGAAGTCGTATATTAACATAATGGCCAGTAATTCATCAAGTGTCGTTTTTTTCGTACACAGGCTTTGATTCACGCGACGACATTTGAATGGGACAGAACAGAAGCTACAATTTACGATCAACAAAATGAAATAAAAGCGAATTGTGGTTAAAGTTCTGTGCGACCGTTGTGATTATCGAAGTATCGATGTTGATATTGAGAGCGTTGAGATTTTGGAATGTGCGCCTCACCGCACCCCGCGCAAGGTCGGTCGTAAAGGAATGCGCACGCGCACGAATTGAACGTGTTTGTATGTCACCCGTTAATCCTTTAACAAAACAATACTTACCTTGATCGACGATATGTCGTTCAAACAATTTATCGCTTGTCAGAATTGATGGTGTGAATTGACAGTGTGCTGAAAATAAAATTTCAATGCCGTTTATCGGATCAAAAGATCAGCCTCATTGCAGCTTTCGAAATAATCCCTCGAGACGAAAGTGTAAAAGAACACAGAATAAAACAAGAACGAAACAGGTTGCCCCGATTCAAATCTGTGGAGATACGAGATAAGTGTTCCCGATAAGTACATGGAGAATTCCTAATCTCGTCGATTATTATAATTAGTTGCTGAGACACCGTGCCTGTAGGTAATTATCTCACATCAAAATTAATAAAACATAACAGCAGCTAACGAGCCATAGCGATACATTAAATCTTCATCAAATTTTATGCAGGAATATTTATATAGAAAACTACAAATCGTTGGAAATAACAGCGTTATAGTGGTAATACCTACGAAATGAACTATAATCATAATTATTAGTTTGACTAAAGAAACAAAAGCAATAATCCACTACAAGTAAAAATAGACTCCTGATAAAAAAAGACGACGTTGTAAAAGATCTGATGACAAAAGACAACTTCGATGCAAAGCGCAGTCATACCAAAGCAATGAATGACCACCGTTATTGGTTGCGACGAATCAATCAGATACCCTCGAGATAAGCAGGAAAGTCACGATTGGGTATCGCTTTTTGTAACACGTGGTAAATTCTAGGACAACCATGAATGAAATTAGTCTACTTAGCTTAAGTACTAGTAATACTGATACGGTACGATATACAATACAAGAATGCAAACTAAACTTCAGATCTAGTGTCTTCATCTTATGAAAATTACTCACGGGTGAATAGCACGTCTAAATTAGGGCACTGCAAGAAAACTAAGATTAATATAATAACACTAATAATGTGATCGAGTATTGGTTGAAACAATGCATGCGATTCTGCTTTCTGCTTAGACACGAGTTGAAATCCTCGTATAATATTTTTGTGTCATGATGTTATTTATATAATTAACTCCAATGATTAAATCCATGTTTTTACACCCATTGTAGTCCTTATGATTGCTATTAGTATACTAGGAAAAGTATACAAAATCATTGTAGCCTTTAAGGTTATTCTACTAATAAAAACCTATCAGTTAATTTGATAAAGATATTCGATAAAGCGCTTTTCATTCATGTGGATTAATTCAGAAAACAACATTACACACTTTTACTTTTACTAGATATTATAAAAATACATTATGCAATATTTAAATGATCGTTACTTGTTATACATATGCCATTATAACACCTATTGACAATTATATTTCTGGCAATACTATTTTATGATAAGTTTTATATTAATATGATGTTTTATTTTTATTCATGAATATCATAGCATTATGCGAAATTCCCATATGAACGGGTCGTATTCATAAATATTGAGCTGGTGTTCATCCATTTGTATGGGAAAACACGGCCGCTAGTCCACGATTTGAATAGAATCATCCGACCGCAGCCGCCATCCGCACGGCTTGTGCTGAGAAGTGAGATTACTAATTTATCGCATTCTAGAGAAATAGAATGTGCAGTAAAAGGTTTCCTCTCCCATAAACTTGTCACCGAATGAAAAAGAAATGGATGCAGTTAACAGTTACGTTGACAACGTAACACTTGTAAAACTTTTTAATCGGTCTGTTATTCTTTCGAAAATAGCTTTTGCTGCGTATTTTGACATTCTTTATTAAGATTTAGTTCAGTTACTTGCACGTTGAAGCTTTTCAAGTTGTGTTTTTAGAACTCATTGAGACGGTGGTTTTTTCAAAAGCATTGAGTAAACGAAATTCTTTTATTGGGTTATTTGAAACTTTATCGCATTAAATTTCTGTCAGTCATAAATATAAAGTCTGCACGTTAATTTTGATAAATACACGAAGGAATAAGCCGCGTGTTTATTATTCGTACCTATATCTCTTTCAGAACAAAGTACTTACCTGATTCGCAATCCCGATACATCTTTCAAAGTCCCCGCTAATAGATGTTCAGAGCTATTATTTATTCTAATTGACAACTTTATCAATTGATTGAACGTTTGAATTCGAACGAAGCTGATTTTCCGGAGTCCCTATTAACTTCGTTCAAATATAATTGTATGTGTAGTTTAAATTTATACCATTCTATACTAATATTATAAAGTGGTAAAGTTTGTTCATACCTAGAAAACTAAAAAACCTCTGAACTAAATGCTTATCTTAAAAAATATTTTACTAGTAGAAAATTAGAAATTTCTGAGTGACATCGCTTTATTCACCCATGCATAACCGTGGCGGTTTGTTAATACCTATCATAATATTTTCTCTTTTTGGTTTCTTCTTTGTTTTCAACTAAGTCTGAATTTGAAATTATAAATACAAATAATACATGTTCCAAATTATCACAGTTTGTTATCATTTAAAATTATTTAACCATCGTATGATAGTCAAATGTTTGAGAATTTTAACTTTCATTATAATAAGTTGATGGTATTCAAAAGTTTAAGAAAGATAATATACGAGTAACTCTTCAGAGTGTAGGAAAAATATCCACCATGGACTACTTTACATTATACGGAGCAGCTGTAAGCTACTTTGACGGACAGAAGAGTACCCTGAGGACGCTCGCTGATGCGAGTTTCTGTTTTATTTCAGTAGGATGTTCTTTCTCAAAAGCTTATGAAGCAAAATAGATCCCTGAGCATCATTCAGGATCAAATACTTTAGAAATGGAAATCCCTCATGTAGGGATGTATCTTCCTATTCTGTAATGTTATTAGAGTAAGATCCCAAGACCGCCAGGCCTTACTTATTTTCAGATGGACAAAATATTTAGTGTGTACAATGAACATATACACATACTCGCTAACTTATGCTGTGGGCCAATTTTCAGGTATCAGGTGGCACTGGCAAGTAAAAATTTTACTTACTTAATAAGTAAAATCACACAGACTGTAAGCAGTCTGAGGACTGATTCTTGCGCATGTTGTAGAGAATATTGCAAAAAAAATTCTGCCAGACACAGTCTGTCAGCAGTATTTATTGCCAGACATTTTACATGTCGAAAGCAAAAAACAAATACTTACTTACAGTCTGAGAACTGATACCTAACAATTATAATGCAATAACCTGTTCGAGCATGTCGATTTTGAAAGCGTGGCAGTACTGTAACGCAGGCTCGCTGCGTGGCTCGCGAGCAACGAACGCAAACAGTGTTCGCGCCGACACACACATCGTGAACAAGTTACGCCAGATCGCTTCAAAAATTGGTCAGTTTTTCTATTATAAAGTAAGAAATAAGAACAATAATAATGTTTAGACTTTTTCAGGTGTGTTGGTCTCGAAAGCGCGGCAATACTGTAACTCGGGTTTGCTGCGCGGATTGTAAGTGACCCGAACGCGAACAGCGTTAGCGCCGACTCACACGTCGTGTACATTGTTCACACTTATATATCAGTAATCAGTAAGAAATAAATAAAAACAACAATAATATAATTACCTGTTCGGGCGTGTCGGTTTCGAAAGCGTGGCAGTATTGTAACGCGGGCTCGCTGCGCGGCTCGCGAGCGACGAACGCGAACAGCGCTCGCGCCGACTCACACGTCGCGTACGAGATACGCCGCAGCGCGTGAGACATACGCACGCTCTGAAACAATAAATGTCAATAAATTAATATTTACTTTTATTATAACTTAGTAGAGAAGAAAACACAGAGTGGATAAGCTACAAGATGTATAAAAATATATGAGAGTTATAAAATAAACACACAAGCCATATGACACAAGTAAGTAATAGAGAGGAGTGGTGTCAAACAGATACACAGACTAACGTATAAAAATATAAATTTAAAAACACGTCAATGAGGTGCCAGGGTGTTTATATTAAAAAGTTATAAAAAAGGTTTGGCCGAACAACTTTGTCGAGCTACCTTCGAAATAAACAGTCGTCTTTCGAAGGTAGCTCGACAAAATAAATAAAAAATCATTATTCTGACGATGCAGACCTGAAAAGGCTGCGAAACGTCAATAAATAAATAAAGTTCGTGCATTCATCGTGTTTTATTTAATAAGTGATATGAGTGAAAACCTAAGAAACAAATAATTTAAGATTTAAGAGGAGCAAGGTGGTGCAAGTGATCGTGGAATTTAACACGGAACAGGAAAAAATCTGTTCCGTGGAAGTTAACCAACCAACAGCTTAACCTGTCTTCCGAAGCACGGAGGAACTCGAGATAATAAATATTAGGTCACCCATCCAATGACCGACCATTGCAAAAGTTGCTTAACTTTCACGAGCGCAGGCCGAATGCCCTAACTACCTGCGCCATCAAACTTCTCTCAGTCACTTTTAATATAATATATTAAATTTTAAAATAGTTTGTAATAACTATAGAGTTTTCGAGGATACGAGTCCCGGGGCACCTGGAACATTTGTTATTTACAAAGTAAATGCCGTAAAACCCGTATAAGCTAACCGATTCATCTCAATTACAATGTTACGAATACGAGACGTTTTAAAACTTAGACTTAGTATAAATGTTTATTTAAATGGCTTTTTAACTTTGTTTAGGTATAGTTGTTATGTTGTTTTAGAGTATTTAGCTGTGTCCATTAAGGATTGGTATCAAATTGGGTCGTGCAATCTAATTATTTACAAATTTACAGTCTTATGTCAGATGGCTCGTAGTATACTATTCGTAAAAAAACTGGCCAAGTGCGAGTCTGGCCTGGCTCTATTAGGAAAATCTCCTATTTATAGATAAAAATAATTTTAAATGTACCAGTGTCTGTATTCTATTCATTGCCCTAGTATACCTTAACACAAGCACTTATAGTGCTCACTTTGGGGCTATTTATTTAAGTGTGAAAAATATTTATTTAGTTTAATTTATTTATATTAATATGAATATGGGTGATACAAGCTAGATGGCGCAGGTGGTTAGCGCGTTCGGCTACGATCGTTGAAGTTAGACAAATTTTGCAGTGGTCGGTCATTGGATGGGTGACCCAAAATCTTCTATCTCGAGCTCCTCCGTGCTTCGGAAGGAACGTTAAGCACTGGGTCCGCGTGGTGAGTCACGGCCCAATCTCACTATTCCATCCATAGGGAAAGCCTGTGCCCCAGCAGTGGGGACATTAATAGGCTGATGATGACGACGGGTAATATAAGATACAATAGATAACTTGATATTTACCTGGTCTTCGGGGTCGCATACCTTGACCCCCGAAAGGGCGACCACCACCAGCACCGGTACCGCACGCCCGCTCTCCTATAAAACAACAGAAAATGCATTTTATTTTATAGTTATAATTTTTCAAGAATTTAACTGCTGGATGTATAAATCTAAATAAAATTTTACTAGAAAAAATCCCACGCAGACAAAGCAAAATCCCAGCCGGTGCACGATGTATGAAGGACGCGTAAGGCGTTTCCTAGACAAAAAAAGAAGAAGGGACTCGAACCCACACAGTTGACTTTGGTTTTGAACGTATTGATTTTACCGAGCTGCTGACCCGTTATCTATAGAATTGTTGATCGCAGTTATCAACACACGTTCCCACTGCTCGGGTACAAATACTTATATTGTCACACTAAAATGTGTTCGCGGACTTCTCTTTATACAATTGATTTTCAATACAAACTTGAATTTTCCATTTCACTACTTTTGGATTTTACTTTTGCAACAACATCGAAATTTCACAAAACAAGTGCAGTGAATTATGCTTGGAAGAGTAACAGAGAGACATAAAACGCCTTATTACATAGGTGGTCTAAAGTCAGACTTGGTTTATTTTGGTTTTGAACCTGCTCTCCCTGTCTTCTAAGTCGCAAACAATGGTGACATAATTATTTTTAGGCCGAACACAACTGTAGCTAACGTTGTGCCATAAGTCGCAGTTTTAGTAAACGTTTTAATTTTAAAATAACTATTGAGAATAAAACTAGTTTAAACGGGATAATGCACGAAACTTTATTTATTTATTGACGTTTCGTAGCCTTTCCAGGCTTCGTCGTCAGAATAAAACTTTTGTTTAATTTGTCGAGCTACCTTCGAAAGACTTTTATTGAGCGTTTAGTTATTTCATCGTTCGATTTTTAAGTTTTATTGTCTATGTATGAATTTATTATTTAATTTACTTAATAAAGTATTTTATTTAAAATTCTTGTTTGTAATTTTGCGTTTATTTATTTGACCCTAACTACCGTAAACTACCACCGGTTCCAAAATTGGGAGACCTTCCTGAGAAGAACCGGCGAAACAAACTCTTATTTAATGAGTGATGTGCGTGAAAACCTAAGAAACAAAAATAACTATTGAGAATATATTTATTGAAGCTATAAAAAGAATATCAAATATTATTTTGATATTACCTACATCCTTCTACTGTACCACAGTTGCTACTACGTCCATTTCCAGAACAAAGCCGAAGACGCGTGTTCCATCTCACTAATAAAAATAATAAGATATGGCCCAGACTGTAGTTTCTTAGTTCTTGAATAAGTAAGCATTCTCATAGTTTATGAATGCCTTTCTTAACTCATATGAGTATACGTCAACAATGCGACGTTTAAAATTAAATAGAGCCTTGGATAGTGCGTTTATAATATTCTTCAATATCGCCGCGTTCGTCTTCGTAATCGTTCAACAATAATGTCTGCGTCCACCCTTAGAACAGGCGCTGGCTGTTTACATTCGGAATCATTGTGCGAGAAGATGCAAAAAAACAACGCCCGAGGCCCGAGCTTTTAATCATTTCCATTGTCGTGGCGCGGACATAGTGCAGAGGCGATAGCGAGATATTGATACTAGATTTTTATAATTCTAATAAGATAGAAGAATTTCTTATTATTTAGTAATATTATTATTTTAACATTACATTAATTATACTTAGGCATTTGAGTGGTTAGCTGAATGATTTTATTGTATAATGAAGTAAAATATAAAGTTTGTAAATCGTCAAATAAATAAAATAAGATTTATGACTGTCTTTTACGTCATAATTAAAATTATACAGTTACCTGGTTAGGTAAACCGGCAGAATTCGTAAACAGAAAGAACAGGAAATTAAACACATTTCATTGCAAATGTTCAATAAAAATTACCATCTCAGCATTCATTGATCGTTATCCAGGCGTATGCATCGACTTCTTTTTACCGAGACCCTAAAATAAGTGTATGTTGTTGTCACGAGTTAGTTCAACGTTCCAAGGTGTGTGTGAGGTAAGGTCGATGGGTTCTTTGAACTTCCCACCACGCGGATCCTGTGCGGATTGGTTGGAGCTAACGACTGCAGATGCATCCGGGACCAATGGCTTAACGTGCCATCCGAAGCACGCTCCTCCGTGCTGATAAATTTTTGTTCACCCATCCTATGACTGACCACTGCGAAAGATGCTTAACTACAATGATCACAGCCGAAAACGCTAACCACTCATCCCCTCATCCACTGAGTCATCGACCTCCTCAGAATATTATAATAGGATAATAAAAAAAATACTTCAGTATTATTTTCTTGTTAGTTTACTTTATTTTCGAAATGTTATTATTACCGCTCCGCTCAACAGCCCGTGTTCATTCTTATATAACAAAATGAAGAGTCGGGATATACCTACTGCGGAGGGGGAGAACTCATTAGCCTTTTTAATTAAGACGCGGCCTCCCGGCTGTCCGCAAGCCTCCAACGACCGCAACTAAGCGCCGTTCTAAACGTCGTTTACCCTAAGCCAAGTCGCTATGAACTACCTCTTATATGAACTATATGTGGAAGACTTTTGTTACCGTAGAACTTTGGGGTATTAGTGCCGTATATAATAAGGCCCAGATGTAAGATCAAATAACACAAAAGAAAAAACTAAATAAATTACTGAAAGCCGTGTTTTTGGTACTTACCACAAAATTATGGAAAAAAATTACAGCCCTGATATTGAAAGAATTGAATTGAAAATACCTACAAATTTCTGGGTTTTGTCATTATTTCTTCCGAAAAACCAACAAACCTTGTTCTTGTAACTATGAACACAGCTATTAAAGATCAAGCAAAATTTTCTCAAATCAAGATTTTTAACTGATGCTCTGTTGTACATTATGGCATTATAAATTAAACGCAAAAGTGATAAAAAAAAGAATCGAATGTAAATTATGAGACCTGTTAACAAAAACACAACAAAGACACTGCCAACTATTGAAACATCATATTTTTTTTTATGATTTACACAGAAATGTTATTAACCTGTGGTTATATTAATCTAACCTTCAATTTCTGTCGAAAGCATTATAACATTAAACTTCATAAAAATAGTTTAATAAACTTTTTAAGTTTACTACCAAAATCAGCCATTTTGGCAATGAAAACAATATTAAGTCCTTAAATAATGTAGGCAAAGGTTTTGTTTAATAAAGGGATGGTTAAAACACTTGATAACGCCAATCCCAGAAGTTTGGTCGTAACGCGGCGGTATATTTTTACGATGCTACTATTAATCTTTTAGGCATAAGACCGCGGTCTTGATTATAGTAGTCAGCAGATCACAGCTGAAGACGAATGAATTGTTTTTGAAGTGAAAACTTCTTTAGCGGCGTTGTACACTTTTTTTGTATGGGTAAAAAATGATAAACTCTATCATGACACACAATAAAATTAGAAAGGTTGTTGACTTTCAATATATTGGACGAATCATAGTAATATTTTATTTTACCTTTATTTAGCCTTTCACATACAAAAGCCTCCATTGCATATATGTAGATGCTTGCGGTATCATAATGTCACTCGTACATAGTCTTCTCTTATCCCATCTCATACCCCGTAAAGCTATAGAAAGCTCACCAACAGAAACGCAACACCACAAAAAGTTTGAATAAATGCGTAAATCGCATCGAGAAAACGATAGACTGAAACCGCTCTGACGCTTGAAGCCTTCGAAAAGCTAAGGAAAACAGCAGTTTGTATGCAAATACTACTTTCATGGGATCAACCTTTCTTATGCGTGACATCAACCGCGTGAACCACGTACAATATACATAAGACAACAAACTGAAATATTCAATTTCGACTTCATTGTAGACTTTAATAGTGTTTGATTTCCGGCATACTTTATATTTACTTGTTCAACAAGAAATAATAAAATCTTAAGAAATATATAATTAGAAAAAAAAAACAGAATTTAACCAATCTGTGTGTTAAATGTCTAAATTAAAAATATAATAAAATGCTAAAATCAATTAAAATGTACGTGATTAGACCCTTTACAAACATATTTTCCACAATATTTTATTTTTTACGGCAGATTTAAGAGAGGTAGGGCAAAGTCTGAGGAAGTAACCCCCGCCTTACAGAAGACCTCGGTAAAACATCACTACAATTTTGACAGTGAGTGAGATTTAAGGGCTCCACGGCGTAGGGGGTAGGGTCAGAGTAGGCAACGGTGCGAGTGATATTTTTGGTATCGCTACCGTTTATAGGCTACGGTGGTCGCTTCAAAGATTTAAATTGTTCAATCTTTGGGTCGCTTATCATCAGGCGGGCCATACGCTTGTTTTTCACCTGTCAAGTCCTTCCATAAAAATCTTGCGACACCGCACTGGTAAATTATTGACAATCGAAGATGATCCGATCAGAAAGTGGAAAGGAGCGAGTACTTTATCTTCCTCTTGTTCAGTGGAGACATCGAATTAACAACTGCCTCAGCTTCAGCTAACAAGGTAGTGAGCACCCATTCTTTAGGGGCTCTCTCTAACAACGTCCCTTTTAATGCGGTTTTAACTGAGCGTACAAGATTTTCCTATGCGCCACCTATTGAAGGCACTGATGGAGGGATGAATCGACACTCGACGTTCTGATTAGCAGCGAAATCTTGTACGTCAGGGCCGTAAAGCTCTCGCAGAAATTTAGATGTTCCGACAAATGCAGTTTCGTTGTCAGACGGACACGAAATCTGGCAAGGGCATCATCGACGTGCTATTAACCTCATATCACCGCAGCATCGGTTGACAAGTCATGGACCACTTTCAAATTAGTCGCACGCGTGGTGAGGCAGGTGCACAAGGCGACGTACCGCTTCTCATATCCCCTCCCAATAGTGACTGTAAGAGGTCCAAAATAGTCCAACCCAACGAGTGTGAAAGGACGGTGATGGTAGTCCAAACGATCTGCAGGGAGATTCCCAATCGGAGGTTCAGAAGTAGCGATTCAGACGGCATAATTGGCATTCAAGTGTCACTTTTCTTAAATGGGAAATAAGCTGATGATCTCCAAACTCCTTAACAGATCT